CCTGATAATGCTGTATATCTTGAATATTCTAGGAACTTTAGCACTGCAAATATAGATCACTTTATTGAAGTTCTTAGCCTTGAAACTTGGCTTAATGTATTTTTTGCTCCAGTTGAGTCAAAGTATGATGTATTTCACCAAACTTTTATGTATTATTTTGAGTTGTGTTTTCCTAAGAAAATATGTAGAAAATATAGACATAGAAGCAGGTGGTTTACTGAAGAGCTAAAGATTGAAAAACAATCAATTATTGAGTTTGCTAACAATGCTAGAATGTTAAAAAGCAAAACCATGTACAAACAACTAAGACAGAAGAATAAAATGTTTAGAAATAAGGTTACAGCTGCAAAAAAACTATATTATCAAAATAAAATAAACAACTCAAGTAACATGAACAAAACCAGCTGGCAAATTATTAACTCTGAAGTCGGTAAGGCAAAAGCAGATAACCACATTACTAGTGTTCATATTAACAATCAATGTTGTTCAGACCCTTATGTTATATGTAATTCATTTAACAATTATTTTACTGATTTGGTTGACACAAACATTGTTCCTAATTTGGATTCACTTGTTGGGGATGTAAAGGACAGTGTAAAAGTAGTTGAGTCAGATTATATAATTCCAGGTTTTCATTGTATACCTGTTGATGAGAAAGAGATAGACGAAATAATAAGTCATCTTAAAAACTCATTTAGCACCGGCTATGATGAGGTCCCTGTGGTGCTCATCAAAAAAGCAAAATTACCCCTCAGAAAACCTATAGCTCATTTAGTAAATTCTTCCTTTGTATCAGGCATTTTTCCTAATAAACTAAAAATTTCTAAATTAATTCCACTATTCAAAAAAGGAGATAGATATGAATTATCAAACTACCGTCCAATTGCTCTGCTTCCGGCCATGTCCAAAATATTTGAGAAAGCCATGTACAACCGTTTATATAGCTTCCTGGAAAGTAATCACCTTTTTGAGGACTGTCAACATGGATTTCGAAGTGGTAGATCAGTTGTGACAGCTGCTACAGAGTTTTTAGAGTCAGTTATTGATTGTTTAGATGCAAAACAAAAGGCTCTTGGCATTTTCATGGATTTAACCAAGGCATTTGACTCTATAAACCACAATCTACTTTTAAATAAATTGTCAAGCATCGGAGTAAAAAATAAATCTCTTCAATGGCTAGAATCATACATTTGTAATAGAAAACAATTTGTAGAAACTATCCAATTCAATAATCAAATGAAAATTACTCACAAGTCAAAAATTAGAACTATTAAACATGGTGTACCACAGGGATCCATCTTGGGTCCCCTTCTATTCATTTGCTATGTTACAAACCTACCAGGGCTGACTAAATCTAGCAAACTTGACCTTTATGCAGACGATGTAAATCTTACAGTTACCGCTAATTCTGAAGAGGAAATTGAAAAGACAGCTAATGCTAATCTAGATATACTTTCAAATTTTTTCCAAAACAATCAGTTACTTTTGAATCCAGATAAAACAAAGTTCATAAATTTTTAGACCCGTCAGACAAGACTTTCAATTAATCCTTCACTAGAAATTAATCAGAAACCTATTGAAGAATTAGAAAATATTAGATTCTTAGGATTTGAAATTGACAAAAATTTAACTTGGAATTCTCACGCAAACAAAGTAATAAAAAAAACTGTATCTGGTCTATTTGCATTAACTAGATTAAAAAATCTTCTTGATCAAGTAACATTAAAATCAATATACTTTTCGTACATACATTCTGTTATTTCTTTTGGAATATCTCTGTATGGCGCTACATCTATCAATAACTTAGAAACAATCCTAAAATTACAAAAACAAGCTATAAGAATTATTTTGGACCTTGACTCGAGAACTTCAAAAGAGCATTTTAGATCATTAAAAATAATGACAGTATATGGATTGTACATCTATGAAACAGTTCTATATGTTAAAAACAGATTTTCTCAATTGGCGTTAACTGGTGAACACCACCACTACAATACCAGAAACAAAACCAACATTGCTCTAAACCGCCACAGATTAGAACTTTACAGTAAAAAACCAAGTTATACCGGCTCCAAATTTTACAACAAAATTCCAAATGAAATTAAATCGGCAAAAAGCATGGTCGAATTTAAGAGGGGTCTTAAAACATTTCTCATCAACAAGGTATTGTATTCCCTTGATGAACTTTAAATTTTTTAGAAGGAGCATTCATTTTTAATTTGTATAAACTTATGTTAGATTTTAAGAACTTTGTATCCATAGAATATAACATTGTAATATAAAAACATTTAAGAGAATGACACTATTCATGTACTTTGTGCTTCAATGAATAAAGAAATATTGAATTGAATTGAATTGAATAATGGTCCTTGGTATGGTAGCTATATTTTTGTAAAATTTAAGCCCAGTTGGTTAAGTAGTTTTTGCACCTATTAGTAATACACATACAGACAGACACCATTAGATTTTTATATAAGAGTATAGATTTACAAGAAATGTTGATTATATCAAACTTGTATGTACATCATAAGTATTTCCATAATATTTGAGCCGACTCTTTTAAAGTCATAGAAAATTATGACTGTTATTCGTTTTAAAATAACGCCTGTAATACTTCGCAATTGCTTGAATTCGAGCAACAGGTACACTAGTTGTAATGATTCCAACTCCAACTAATCAGCTGTTCAGGCCAATTTAGTTGTTGAGTATTAGTGTTTGGTACAATGTTTTGTTGCTTCACTGTCAGTAGCAATGAGAGGATATAAACAAAAACATAACCTCTTTTAGAAGTTATGAGTAGTGATTTTTTGTAATTAAATCACTGTCGTAGGTAAAGTAGTGTACACAACTCGCGTAAATAGTGTTAACGACATTCGTAGAAGTTTTTAAGGCACTCCCCAAGGCTCATACTGTACCTAAAATTTTCTACTTGTGTTGTTAACACTATCTTTACGCAATTGTTGCGTAAACTACTGATACTTAACGATTGCGTAAAACGACACTGGTAATAAGGTCACTGGTCATTTGTAAAAGTTATTCGTATATCCAGTGTGCAAAGAGGTTTTCCAGACTTGCCTGCAACTGGGGCCGAAACAGCCTATATACTTCACATACATGTTCCTTGTTAGTCTACATTTTTTTACAGTTTTCATAAAAATTTTAGGTAGGCCCAAATACAATTTTAATTAGTTATTTTTAAATTCTTAACACGTTGAGTGTGGCATATATTCAAAAAAGCGCTCGCCAACGGCGGCGAGGCCCTGGTGAAGCACCGAAACAGTGAACACAATTGGCATTCAAATATTTCAATCTGACAAATGACAAAAGAGCAGCGGTTATTGTACTGCGTTACCCCGAGAGTGGACGTAGTTCACTGAAACACCCAAAGGTAGCAGCACTGCCTGGCTCAGTAGTCAGTGTCTTTGTAATGTGGCTTGAAGAGAGAAAATCTTCAAAACCGGGACAAAAGCATTTTCAGACGGGATTTTACAGGAAATTTTAGTACCAACCTACTCCAAAATAAAGCTCACATTCTAAGCTACAGGCTAGCAACGCTTATAAAGTTTCTCGGCAATGGCTGAACTCATACTGAACTAATTTTTGCCGATAGGAGTGCTAGTGGCGCAACTACATAAATTGATGTAGTCAGCGCTCAACGTGTTAATACACCAAGTAAAATAATCCATACTACTAGTATTATTTTTTAACCAACTTTAAGATAATAGCTTGTAGGTCTAGATATGAGTTGGTCACAAAATAATATTGGCTATTTCTGAAAGCTATTTAATATGATAAAATAACCACTTTCATGATTTGATCATTTGTATCTACATAAAAAAAACAAAAAACATTGATAACTCCATAAATCACTTAACATGTTTGCTGCGGCCTACAAAGTCTGAGCCCAGCACTCGGCCGGGGACAGTGTTATTGTTGCCAGGCTTTAGCTTAGAATACAAGCTTTATTTAGGTGTAGGTTGGTGCTAAACATTCCCGTAAAATCCCGTCTGGAAATGCTTTTGTCCCGGTTTTGGGGATTTTCTCTATTCGAGCCATATTACAAAGACTCTGGTTATTGATCCAGGCAGTGCTGCTACCTTTGGGTGTGTCAGTGAACTACGTCCACTTTCGGGGTAATGCAGAGCTATCACCACTGCTCTTTTGTGTTTCGTCTTACTGAGATATTTGAATGCCAAATGCGATCGCTGATTCAGTAGCGCGCCGGAGCTCCGCCCGGGCCTCGCCGCAGTTTGCGAGCGCATGTTTTAAGGTTTTCAGCAGTGAACGTGTTAACAATTTATTGGCAAGGCTGTAAACAACAGTAAAATATAAGTTGTCTTAAAAATCAAATCGCAAGTCATTCATAGTGCTGCAAACTTATTTTCATACACAAGTTACACCTGATTTCAAGTTCAGGTTGCACGTCTCTGGAATTTTTAGGTCAGGCTAGACCAACAGTTGGCCCGTGATATCAGTTTATGGCGGAAGTATCTTTCCGGCCAACCTCAAATAGTAATTTGCATTAGAGGTGTTGAAGCAATTTTAAAGCTTAGTGGAGCGTTTACTCTTACGATAACTTATTGCTTTAGCAAAAAGTGCCCATGAAGATTACAAGATTAAAATTATGGTTTCATCACAATTGGAGATTTCATGATCTCGCCACGATCACAGGAGACGATGATGTCCCGGCAACTGTGGATGTTCACTGTTAGGCCTGTGCTGTGACCGAAAGAGACATTCAAGTTGTTATTGTTACCACAGGAGACGTTAAAAATAATAATAACACATGTAGTCCTATGCGGAAGATTTTCTAATTTTTTCTAAGATTACGGAGACGTTCCTGATCATGAGAGACAATCACAATTTTACAGTGATCGCAGGAAGTAATATAAACAATTTGTTAACTGAATTCATCAATACTTTCAAGAAATATTTTGACTAGGCTACACAATGAGTACTATGATTGTGTAAAACTTATTTGAACTTGAAAATAAACTCACCATTTGCCCTTCTTTTGCCATTTTCTTAATGTCTGCAATATCTTCTTTTCCTGTTGTTCCATTCGCATTCTTTCTCTATCAAGATCTCTTATTGCTTTATTCAGGGCTCTTTGATTTTTTCTTAACATCTCCTCAGGTGTTACTCTTTTTCCAAATAACCACTCCATTGTTATTTTGCAGTTTAAATATTACAAAATCCAAGATGTAGCATACAAACAACTTTAAATTGTGTTGCTGAAACAGAAATAACTTATGAAACAAAAAAATAGAATGGTTGTATTAACATGTAATTTCTATGCTATGGTTAAAGTTTCCTGGCTTCTAAAAAAGAAAAAAAATACAGTAGACTCCCTCTTATCCTGACTCTTCGGGACCGAGGCCAGTCCGGATAACGGGTTTTCCCGGTTAAACCAACGTCCCAAAAAACTTGTTAAAACGGACTGTTTACTGTGATATTGGACTTATATTTAGGAGAGCATTGTATTTAGACATGTGATCACTGGTCTCAAATCTTTCCTACGAGAACAGTTGTTTCAGTAGGCCTACTGACCACTTCCTGCCGATCTAGTCCGGTTAAACCAATGTGCTAATAAAAATTATCAGGTTAAAGAGATGACATTTCCGCCGAGTGTCGTCAGGTTAAAAGGTGTCTGGATAAGAAGGAGTCTACTGTAGATTAAATAAAAAAAAAAACAATAAGAATCAATTACCGTACATCTACCCTATTGAAAAATATTAATACTTAGGGGAAAAGACTAAAAGTAGCTAAAAGTAGAAAAGACTAAAAGTAATTAAAGCACAAGTTAAGTTAACTTCATTTCTGAACCAAAAATACTAAGTCTAGTTACAGATGTAAGTTACCATGTTTTGTTTATGTTTATATTTTATTCAATAAAGTTTGAAAAGTTAAACATGATAGACAATAGACAATAGACAATGATCTTTATTTACATATTCGTTGAGAACAGTACATGCGTCAGAATAATAATTAAAATTTGTTGATTTAATATGTTGTTAAAGCTGGTTGTCAAGGAATTCTTTTTCTGAGTAGAATGGCCTTTCTTGCAGCCATGTTGTTAATTGGTTCTTGAAACGGTGAGTTGGTTCATTTCTAAGTTGTTCTGGTAGGTTGTTGAAATACAGGGCCCCTTTGTAGGATGGCTTCTTTTCAAAAATGATAAAAAAAGATATAAAAAAAGATTGTAAAAATTAGGCCTACGTTAGAAAAAAAAAGGTCAAAGATAGCGAGGATTCTTAATTATTTTTTTAAAAGACTGAACCTCATTTGTGTACCTACCTTAATCTGAAATAAAAACTTATTATTCTTAAGGGTGCAGCTAACAAGATACTCAGTGGTGTAGAGATTTATTGGTCCCCTGAACACAAAATACAACATTGTTTACCACTACGGCTTTTCAGAAATTAAGTCTAATGTTTCTGTCAGAAATCAAGTCACACGCTGATCACACCACACTGTTTAGTAGATTTATTAATCATCAAAAAACAAAAAAATATCATAGCTCAATTCAATATTTACATTAAAAAACTTAACTTAAGCTATCGAACCGAATCAAACTTGATATATATTGATTGATATTTCGACCGATAATATCTATTGCAGGTTCTCTGAGTGGAACTGTACCTGCCTACGGTTAAACCAAAAACTATGACAATCCTAGATAATCTTTGTAGAGACTGACAATTTAGTGAAATGAACATGTGCAGCTCATACTTTCTATTCCCACAACGGCCTCAACTCTAATGTAGTAGGCCTAGCCTAGTCTATTTTGTCATTTAAAAACCGAAAACAAAGACTTGGTGTACAAAATATGCAGACATTATAAATCAGAGTGGAAAATTAACCCCAGTGGAGTTCCTCAGGGCTCCATTTTTGGCCATTGTTTATTTATTATATATTTCAATGGTCTATGCAAAGATACTAAGATGTCCAGCTTTCAATATGCAGATGATATCGTTCTAATTTGTACAGGACAAAACAATGAGCTCATACGAGCCTCAATAAATCAGGAATTTCAACTCCTTGGGGACTGGTTTACAGTAAATGGCCTGTCCATGAATGTGGCAAAAACTCAACTAATTCAGTTTTCTGCGTCCAATATTAACCAAGAAATAATTGTAAATACAAACTTAACTACAACTCATTAACAACAGTCAATAAATTATTTGGGAATAGAAATCAATTCAGAAAAACCTATCAAAAAGACTACGCTCAGAAACATTTGTTCTCACAATAATTCCGGATAACTTACTACTACAGTAGAACCTCGATAAGAAGACCCTCGATAATAAGTCACCCTTGATAACAAGTGTACCGGTAATTTTGTAAATCCCCTTGAATTTAACAGGATCTTAAAAATAGCTCACCAGAATGTTAGGAGCTTACTTAACAAACTGGATATTCTAGACATATTTATTGATGACGAAACCCCAGATGTCTTATGCATATATCTGAGCATTTTTTAAAACGACATGAAATTGAGAACCTAGTTATACAAAATTTTGACTATGTCTCATCCTTCTGCAGAACAGAAACGAATGGTGGAGGTGTTGCGATTTGGTGCAGCCCACACCTGAAATACCAACCCCTTGACACTGTCAAATTGAGTGTGGAAGGAGAATGTGAATTATCGGCAATGTCAGTCGAAATCAGTTGCGATGAAAAGTTGCTAGTCGTAGCCGGGTATAGACCACCGTCAGGATCATATGAAATCTTCTTGGACAATATTGAAGACTGCTTAGATAAATATGCGTCTTCACACTCTAAAATAGTATTAATAGGAGATTTCAACATTGACTTGTCCACTGACAGTTTTATTGCTAGTAAGTTTACTGCGACCTTAGCTTCATATGATTTGCACAATGTCATAAAATCATACACAAGAGAAGCGTTAGGTTTACGTACCCTCATAGACCATATATTCACGAATGACAGTAACAGCCCCGAAAGTGATGTTGTCAAATCATTTTTATCTGACCATTACGCTCAAACTATAAAGCTTGAAATATCTCCATCCAATAAGGACGCAGGGGCGAAGTTTCGGTACTGTAGAAAATTTAGTGTATCAAACATGGAATCTTTTAAATATTTACTTGGTCGAGAGAGCTGGGTCGATTTATACAAAGCAGAAAGCACGCAGGAAAAGTACAATATATTTAACAGCACACTTGGCCATTACTTTGAAATTTCATTTCCGAAAATAAATAAAATAATTAAGAATAAACCCAAGAAACGAATCAAACTTTCTCCAGAACTGCTTCATCTGAAAGAACAGTGTTTCCAGTATTACGAAAAGACAAAAGACTTACACTCTGATCATTTCCTAAGACAGTACTATTTGAGACTGAAACTCCGATACAGAAACTTGATAAGAGATATTAAAGCACAATCAGTACTAAATACAATTGAAAAGTCGAGCAATAAAACAGTAGGAACTTGGAAGGTAATAAATGATATTAGACCAAAACGGAAAAGGGAACAGGAAGGCATTTTCTCTTAAAAACAACAACGGTAATGTGGTGGTCAAACCAGAAGAGGTATGTGAGGCCTTCAATAAGCATTTTGTTGAAGTGGGAAAGCATGCTTGTTTGAAAAAAAGAAACACTCCCTCTTTCAGTTCAAATAAAAAACAAATAAATTCCTCATTTTTTCTGAGTTCCGTTACCGAGGAAGAAATTAAAAGTATAATTAACGGATTAAAAAATAAAAAGTCTGCTGGAATTGACGAAATATCCCCGAATTTGCTCAAATATATATCAGATGTAGTTACAAAACCTCTATGCCACTTGATAAACACTTCCTTTGTTGAGGGAAGATTTCCTAGCAACCTTAAGGCATCACTAATAAGACCTATATTTAAGAATGGAGATAGAATGTGCTGCAACAACTACCGCCCTATAAGCCTGGTCTCGACCTTCTCCAAAGTTTTTGAGAAGGCAGTGCTGAGTAGATTGTGGATATTCCTTGAGAAACACAGCATACTATTTAAAAGTCAGCACGGGTTTGTTAAAAACAAATCAACGGCAAGCGCAATAATTCTCAGTCTCATAAACGGAATAGTAAAAGATATGGATTCTAGACTAGCAGTAGCTGGGATGTTTTTAGATTTCAGTAAGGCCTTTGACCTCGTCAACCATAGACTTCTCCTTAGCAAAATGAATAACATGGTCATTAGAGGCACAGCTCTCGACTGGTTTTCGTCCTATCTTGAAGGTAGAAGGCAGACTGTAATCATACCTGCAGTTGATAACACAGGCTATCTACGGAACCATGTATCTTCTGAGGCTGTAGTAAAGAGGGGTGTGCCACAGGGGTCCGTCCTGGGGCCGATCCTTTTCCTTCTGTTCATTAATGACCTGCCATCTAGCGTAAAGGAGGCAAATGTATGCCTATTCGCGGACGACACTTCCCTAACTGTGTCCAGACTTAGTATGGAGGAACTGGAACTTGTCACCTTTCTGGAATCAAACTCCCTTCTTCAGTGGTGCGAAGAAAATGACCTAATCTTGAACGCTCAAAAAACCCAAATAGTCCAATTTTCCATTTCTAACCGGTCAAAACGGTCCCACTATGACTTGAACATTCTCCTCGACGATAACACTATCTCCCCTTCTTCAGAAGTAAAATTCCTCGGTCTTGTCCTTGATGAAAACCTCAAATTCCACAGCCACATCGAGCACGTCAGCAAGAAAGTATCGGTGGGTATATTTATGCTGAGAGTTCTCAGCCAATCAGCCACCACTGATGTCCTATTATCAGCCTATTATGGGCTTGTCTACCCTCATCTGACTTATGCGGTTCCTGTTTGGGGGTGCGAAAGTGAGAGGACAAGGTTCTTGTTTAGGCTTCAGAGAAGGGCAATTCGAATTGTGTTTTCTATTTCCAAACAACAATCATGCAGAGATTATTTCAGAGAATTTAAAATTTTAACTTTAAGGAATTTTTTTTATTAAGATGTAGCCTAATAAATTTATTTTTCTTGTACTGACTTGGCTAATGCAAGTATTGTCAATTTGGCCCAATAAATGACTTATTGACTTATTATTGACTTATTTATTTTACCCTTTATCACATGTTATTGCCAACCCCAATGAGAAGTCAACCTTGATAACAAGTCTTATTTAATAATCCCAACCTAAAAAACAGTCTTGTTATCGAGGTTCTACTGTAATTTAGAAACACAAATAGTATGGTAGTATATCACACATATTTTTCA